GGTCTGGTCGACCGGCCAGAACGATGAAAACTCAACTTAATCAATTACAGTGTTTCGGTCCACCGGACATGCTCTGCGGTCGACCAAATAGGGTTCTCGGTCGACCGACATAACTTCGTGGTCGACCTGTCGAAAAATCAGATGAACACCCTGTAGTGGTGTGCACGTTTTCGGTCGACCGGACCTAAGCTTCGGTCGATCGGACTGCACCGAAAAAAGTTTCCTGCTTGTATTTTCCTGAACTTTTCAAATGTATTCGTCAATTCTACAATACTTACCACACTCTTACTTACAGGTTGTAAGTCTACTGAAGTGTCATGGAAGCATGTAAAGTATCTTTGTGCGCGTTATCCTACATATTTTGAATTAGGACTATATCTGTTTTGCTGCAACTAATAAATACAACTATAGTCTTTTTTTTTTAAATATAGTTATACTTGCGTAATTTGAGGTAGCAAAAAGGCCTCCGGTTGCGAGTGAGGAGTAGAAATAAACCAAATAATTAATAAATAGCTCGCTACTTGTTTGTCCAACTATTTAGTTATATTCAATTAGGTTGTTCATTTAAAAGTTAACAAACAATTTTTGTTTTTGATTCAAAATTAATTCAATTTATATATATATATATATATATATATTCAACTCATTTGATTATTAAATATTTTTTTAAGTGTCATCTTTAATAAATTGTATTTTTATATGCATGATGTTTTATTTTTGACCCATATACATTTTTTGATTTAGGTTTTATGCTAACTTTATAAGGGGTCATATGTCATTTTTTTACACAAAATTTCTTTAACGAACAAAAATATCTTCTTAATTATGTAGTTTACTATTCGTAAACTACGAAATTTATTAATGAAATAAATACACCACATATTAGTGAAATACTAGTGGATATTCAAAAAGTGCATTTATTTTAATTCAAAAACTGCTACTCCAACCTCTGTCCCAGACATCAAAGTCATTCAGAGTGGCCCTTGTCTGATTGATACTCAAGTTAGGTACCTATCTCGACCAATTTCAAAAGATGAAATTCGTGCAGCAGTTTTCTCTATGCCTGACAACAAAGCCCCAGGACCAGATGGGTATAGTGCATCTTTTTATAAATCAGCATGGTCTATTATTGGAGATGAGGTTACTTTTGCAGTTGAAGAATTTTTCAGAACTGGGAAGCTTCTGGGTGCAGTAAACTCCACTTATATTGCATTGATTCCCAAGGTACATTGCCCTAAAACTCCTGCTGATTTCCGTCCCATTTCTTGTTGTAATTGCCTCTACAAGTTCATATCTAAAATCCTAGCTAACAGACTTCAGTCTGTTATGGGTTGTATCATAAATGAGGCTCAATGTGCTTTTGTGAAAGGTAGACAAATTACCAATAACATTTTGCTAGCTCAAGAACTGGTTAAGGGTTATGGTAGGAAACATTTGTCACCAAGGACCATGATCAACATAGATATTAAGAAAGCTTTTGATACTGTTAGTTGGAGCTTCTTACAGCACTTACTCAGTGGCATGGGCTTCCCTCGGGTATTCATAGATTGGATTATGGCTTGCATCTCATCCCCTAAATACTCCATCTCTCTTAATGGATCTTTGCATGGGTATTTTAAGGGTGAAAGAGGGTTAAGGCAGGGTGACCCCCTATCCCCCTATCTGTTCATTCTTGCGATGGAGTACCTCTCCAGGAGCATTGTTTTGCTGAAAAATGACAGAAATTTTAAATACCATCCAAAATGTAAGAAGCTCAATATCTCCCATCTAATTTTTGCTGATGATCTACTACTGTTTACCAAAGGGGATTCTTATTCAGTGCACAAAATTTATGAATGTGTCAAAGACTTTGGTGCTAAATCTAGTTTAGAGGCAAATCCTTCTAAATGCTCTATTTTTTATGGTGGAGTTGATGAATCTACAAAGGATACTATCAGAAACTGTTTGGGCTTTCCTGAGGGGAATTTTCCTATCAGATATCTTGGTTTGCCACTCATATGCAAAAGAATGTCTTACATGGATTGTAGCTCTCTTTTTGTGAAAATATCAGGCCAGTTTCAGACATGGTTACACAGGAAGCTGTCATATGCTGGTAGGCTACAAGTAATTAAAAGTGTTATTCTGGGTATTCAGATATTCTGGACTTCCTGTTACATTCTTCCAATCAAAGTTCTTCGTCAAATTGATGTACTCTGTAGAAATTTCCTATGGGGTAAATCTGATCAGGCTTTCAAAATTCCCCTTGTGAACTGGACAAATGTGTGCACTGATAAAAAGCTTGGGGGACTGGGGATCTTCTCTGCAACTCAGTGGAGTATTGCTACTGCGTTGAGGGCTATTTGGCACATTCATATGAATAAGGAATCTCTGTGGATCAAGTGGATTCATGAAAATTATCTGAAAAACAGAGATATTTGGCATGTATCTGCTAAGGCTTGTGATTCATGGATGTGGAGACAGTTGTTAAAAGTTAGGGATAATGCTTTGAATGCCTGGGGGGGAGTTGAAAATCTGAAACAGAAGATTATTTCTTGCTCAAAAAATTCAAAGGTTCATCTCTCTGATCTATACACTGCTCTGTCCTCAACTGCAGCAAAAGCTGATTGGTATGTAACAGTTTGGGAGAAGCTGAGTTACCCTAAACACTCTTTCATTACATGGCTATCAGTGCAGAACAAGCTTTTAACACAGGATAGGCTTATCAGATGGGGGGTTATACATAATAATCTATGTTGCCTGTGTGATGGTTCTAGTATTGAGAACCGAAATCACTTATTTTTTGACTGCAGCTTTTCAAACAGAATTTGGAATGGTGTTATGGATTGGTTGCAGTTTAAATGGAGATCAGCAGATTGGCATAGGCTTTTGGATTGGTACATTTCCAGGTTGAGAGGGAAATGCACCACACAAAGAATCAAGAGATTGGCTTTTTCGGTTGCAATTTACAATATTTGGAGTGAAAGAAATGATAGAATCTTCAAGGGAAAAGCCAGGTGTATTGATCAGCTGATTAGGAAAATTAAAGTGGATATATTGACTATATCTCTCAATTATCCACTACCTGCTGAAGACAAACAGTGGCTCCTCTCACTGTAGTTGATACAAAAGTTTGATGATTTTGCTTTCTTGAGTTTCATATTTTTTAGGCAAAAATGTATATATAGTTGATATCTCTGTTTTTGAGTAACTTGATGTACATAACGTTACATATTTGGTGAGTGAATAAAATTTTTCATTGACCAAAAAAAAAAAAAAAAGAAATTTTGAGAATGATATTCAAAATCGTATTCGAATTCAAAATTTTAAATGAATCCATACACGAACATCATGATATTGGATTTGATTTGTTTCGTTTCCAACCACATTTTTAGCTGACAACTTGCACAGATTTGAATGTGAGCTGAATTTAAAATCTTTTTGAGCTAGAAATGAGGTACATGTTAAAACTCTATTGGTATCCAATTCTCAATAGATTTTAAAAAACAAACCCGCGCGATGCTGGAGCATTAGTATAGAGACAACTAAAAAATAATTTAAATATTAATTTAAAAATACATCATATCTAACGGTTGGAATAAAAATGGGTTAAATTACCTAATTGGTATTTGCTACTTTAGGGTTAGTTGGTTTCTCCCGCTTAAACTTTGCTTTCTCATAAATCCTTCCACATCATCTAAAAATAGCTACTTCAACCTTTTAACAGCCTAAAGAGTACATCATGTGAGGTCACATGCTACTTACTCGCGTACAATTTGGCTGATGGTGAAAAAAAAGGTCTGTGTGCACTTTTGGTTGACTTTTAATACTGAAATATGATCAAAGAAACATTTTGTACCAAATCAAATGAGGGGATTATAAAAAAAATAATTTGGTGGTTTTAGCTGAATAAAAATATAGCAATTAATGGCAAAAAATAATGATTTACGTTGTATATCTAGCTGTAGAAATATAATATGGATTTAAAAATATTTCGATTGAATATTTCATGTGTATGAGTGATTTTGAAAGTGTGTGGGTTTAAAAATAAACAGGTGTAAAACTTAAGTTTGTAGACAAATTTTTTTACAGAGGTTGGGCCAGTTTAAAAAATAAATATGGATAATATTTTATGTTTATAGGGCTAAAAGTCAATCTCTCTATTTGTTATGCTGTTACTGTAATAAAGTTCAAAAAATAGTCTGAGCATTTAGTTCAAAAATATATTACATTCCTAATGCTTTAGAACAAAAATATATGAAGTTATAACAAAATATAGTAATTTACAATATATACCAAACTACTAAAATATAAAGAGGGTTTATCATTAGTTTGAAGGAGTATTTTCGGTTCTAGAGTGAAGTTGAAAGTATGGTAGGTTTATTAAACATTAATGAATGTAAGACTTTGGGCATATCTGCAGAAGATCCTTTTTTGAAGTGTCTGAATTTAAAAGTAAATGAGGATATATTTTTCTTAATATTTAGTTTAAAATTACATCGTATACCTAGCCACATGGCCCACACACAAGGCACAACAAGAAATTATAGATTTAAAAAAGCAACTTATCAGTATAGGAATTTTTTTTTTTGGTCAATGAATTCATTTTTATTCATTTTCCAAATGTGAAATATTTAAGTACATCAAAACATCCAGACCATAATCTGGGAATCAACTAGTAAGAAATTTACACTTGCTCAATTTTCTCTTTTATGTGTACAGGAACTTTGTCATTCAAAACTTTTGAAAGAATGGAGATCTTGATATTGCGAAAAAGAACTTCAGGAGTTCTAGTCTTTTGCTGAAAGATCCGCTGGTTCCTCTCAATCCAAATCGCATATACTGTTGCAGACAAAGCTAGCCTCTTCAATTTCTTCATGAACCCATTTCCCCTTAGCCTGGTGCTGTACCAATCGATGATACTATCCCAACTACATGACTTCCATTTGTATTCCAGCCAGTTCATCATATTGTTCCACACCTCAATAGAATATTTACATTCAAATAGGAGATGTCGACAGGTTTCATTGCTCTGATTTGAACACAAGACACATATATTTGTGTCCAGTATCCCCATATGACATAACCTGTCTTTGGTTAATAGCTTTGCATGAATAGCTAGCCACAGGACAAAGGAATGTTTGGGGGTAGTTCCAACTATCCCAGACAGTATCCGACCAATTCACCTCAGGAGTATGTTGTGCAATTTCTCTGTAAATAGAGGATATAAAGACTTTGCCCCCAGAACAGCATTTACTGATTGCATTTTGCATATTACTAACATTCCCAAATTTGCCAATGAGAATATCCCTCACCTTTAGAAGTTGCTTCCACATCCATGAATTGCTCACCCTTACTTGAACATGCCAGATATTATGTTGTTTCAGATAATTTTCATGAACCCATTTTATCCACAACAAGTCTTTCTTTAAATGAATCAACCATTGAAGCTTAGTTGCAGCTGCAAGATTCCAATTTCTTACCGAAAACACTCCAATGCCTCCCTGTTTTTTATCTTTGCAGATTGTCTCCCATGACACCAAATGTATTTTATGATTCGAAAGGAAGTTAGAACATAATCTGTCAATTTTCTCTAGGATCTTCATAGGTAGGATATAGTTGCTTGTCCAGAATATTTGAACCCCGAAAATTACAGATTTGATAAGCTGTAATCTACCAGCATAAGAAAGGTTTTTCCTCTTCTGCCAGCTTTGGAACTGATCAGTGATTTTATTTATCATAGGGGAACATTCCAGAGAGGATAATCTTTTAGAGATTAAAGGCATCCCCAAGTATCTCACTAGTAATACCCCCTCAGAAAAATTCAGAAGAGTGCAAATCTGCTGTTTCAAATTTTCATCAATGCCACTTAAGTACACAGAGCACTTATTTGGGTTAACTTCTAACCCAAAAACTTGACTAAACTCCTGAAGACAACCGTATAGCTTTGCAACAGAGTAGATGTCAGCTTTTCCAAACAGGAGCAAATCATCAGCAAAGAATAGGTGAGTGATATTTAACTTGGAGCATTTGGGATGATATTTGAATAGTTTGTCATTTTTAAGAATGTTTAACCTTCTTAACAGATATTCCATTCCAAGAACAAAAATAAATCTGAGTTTGGGTGGGGGGGATGGGGGTGGGGAGAGGCAGTAAACTTTGGCTTTATGGGGAAAAAATCCTTTTTAGAAGTGGATGAATTAAAATAATTGATGCTAATACTTAGGACATATAAGGAAAAAAACTTGTCTACACTTCATTGTGCTGCTATGATAGTAACGTTGGGGAATTTCACTCTCCCAGCCTACTACAATATACGCAACTCCGAAGTCAACACATAATCAACAAGATATAAAACAACCACAATTAAGAAAAAAGAACATCGGGATTTACATGGTTCGGTCGACCAACTTCGACCTATGTTTACGGGGCAACAATACGAGAAATTCACTATGTATCAGGGAGAACTACAAGAGGAACCACATAACTCTCGTCTCTCAATCTCTCAACCTCACATACATAATCAACTCTCATATTCTCTCCAAAGCCCACTCCTTGTAATCTCTTGCACGGATAAAGATCACGAAACCCTCGCCTCTCGCACAATATTCTTGAATCAGGCTACGCCCTCTGCTAACCCTAGATTACAAGAATATTGGCTCTCTCTACTACATCTTCTCTCCACTCTCTTCTTCTTAGTTTTTCCTCCAATAATAGAAGAATATATATAGGAAAACCAAAACTCTATCTCTAGCCTAACTTTCTAATAATAATAGGATTCAAACTCCTAATCATGATGGAACCCAAACTCCTAATTATGATAGATCTCTAACCCTATCTAATTCTCATGAAATTTTACAAAGAATCAAAGGCATAATCCCAACAATCTCCACATTGGATTTGATTCCCAAACTCCCTTGAAGATATATCATCGTTTTCTTGAAACTTTGTCTCTCCCGCTAGAGTCTTCTATTTATTTTGCACTTCAAATCAAAGCAGCCACACTCCTAATCAGAATATATGCACTCCAACTGGTTGTCTCATGACCCTCACTATCATCTGCTTCACCGTGGCGCCTCCACCTCTTTTGCGTGCACTAAGAGATCTTCGCTACCTCTGACAATAAAAGCAAATCAATCATGCTTGTCCTCCCAACTTAAGCCTGACAATAGCCTCCCCTTACTTGTTGTCCTTGTGCTCCACCTACGTCGCTCATCTCGAATCATATCGGTGCACCTCTCCTACTCCACACTACAAGTCGGATGCCTCTATCTCCTCCATCACTTGGCTTGGACCGAATATATGAGCGCTCATCGTCTTCAAGTCTAATGCCACCATTTCTATTACCCTGCGTGTCACTCGGTCGTGCCAGCTTGCAAGCTCCACCTAATCTAGCACTATTCTCCTCTAGTTTGCATACCAACCAACTCATGCTCCTTATCTGCCATTATATTTGTCTTGCCATTGAATAGCGGAATATCAAACTTCAAACCCGAAGAAGTTATCATTCTCTAACCATGATCAAAATTCAAATCAGTAACTGTAGAGATTAAATTTGATAAAACCAACTCCAAAAATGAACTCAGCACGTCGAAATACCCTAGGAACGACTCCTAGATCACCAAAATCCGCCTTCAAATTCTCGATCAAAAGACAAATCAATCTCGACCATTGGATCTGGGTGAACAGTACCCGCCGTGCTACTACAGTGTTCCTGCTACAGTTTCATTCTCGCCTGCTACAGTACACCGCTGCTACAAAATTTTTTCCTTTTTCTTTTTCTTTTCATCTTGATTCTTGTAACGTCGATCTTCAATCTTGCACAACGTCGTCTTCTATCTTGCGAATTCGCTCCCGGATCCATCACCATCATCATGACTCTGATACCACTTATTGGGGAATTTCACTCTCCCTGTCTACTACAATATGCGCAACTTCGAAGATAACACACAATCAACAAGATATAAAACAACCACAATCAAGAAAAAAAACACCGGGATTTACACGGTTTGGTCGACCAACTTGGACCTATGTCCTCGGAGTAACAATACGAGAAATTCACTATGTATCAGGAAGAACTACAAGAGGAACTTCTTAACTCTCATCTCTCAATCTCACAACCTCACATATATAATCAACTCTCATATTCTCTCCAAAGCCCACTCCTTGTATCTTTTGCACGAATAAAGATCACGAACCCTTGTCTCTCACATAATATTCTTGAATCAGGCTACGTCCTTTACTAACCCTAGATTACAAGAATATTGGCTCTCTCTACTACATCTTCTCTCCACTCTCTTCTTCTTAGTTTTACCTCCAACAATAGAAGAATATATATAGGAAAACCAAAACCCTATCTCTAGCCTAACTTCCTAATTAGAATAGGATTCAAACTCCTAATTATGATGGAAGCCAAACTCCTAATCATGATAGATCTCTAACTCTATTTAATTCTCATGAAGTTCTACAAATAATCAAAGACACAACCCCAACAAGTAAAATCCTAAACATAATGCTTTAAGAATTTCGTTTAATACATCACATCCGTAAGCACTTAGAAAAGAAATATATCAAGTTAAAGTGAAATACATCAACTAAAACCATATGTCAAACACAAAGTGAGTTTATAAATAACTTTTTTGTGGTATTTTGAGTCTAAAAGTGATCTTGGAAGTGAGTATAAAAATAAATAGAGCTTAAACTTTCAATTTATAGGTTAAAATTCTTTTTGGAAGGGGGTGGATTTGAAAATAAATAAGAATAAGAATTTGGATATTGGGTAAAATATCTTATCTTAGAGTAGACACTATATAGCAAATTTATGAAATACGAAGTAGGTTTACAAATAATTCATTTGGGTATTTTTGAGCCTAGGAATGATTCTGAAAGTAGATAGATATGGTGCCTTGGTGCAATACTGTCTGGGAAGTATCGAATATCCCTAAGCACTCTTTTATTAGTTGGTTGGCGATTCAGAACAAGCTTCTCACACAAGACAGGTTATTAAAAAGGGGTATAATCACTTCTAACACTTGTTACCTATGTTCTGGAGCTGGACAGGAATCTAGAGATCACCTGTTTTTTGAGTGCTTTTATTCAAGTAGAGTTTGGAATTCTATCATGGATTGGTTGAAGTTCAATTGGAAATCTTGCCTTGTGCTTTTATTCAAGTAGAGTTTGGAATTCTATCATGGATTGGTTGAAGTTCAATTGGAAATCTTGCCTTTGGAGATATGTGTTGGATTGGTACTCTAAAAGGTTGAAGGGAAGGGGATTCAAGCAAAAAATAAAGAGGATGGCATTAACAACTACAATCTATTGCATTTGGAGAGAACGTAATGACAGGCTGTTTAATCAGAGAAGCAAAGATCCTGTCAGCTTGGAGAAAGAAATCAAGTTTGAAATGTTAACTGCAGTGCTTAACAGTCCATTATCTGCTTACTGGGAAGATTTATATGGTTGAAATCTGGGCTGAGCCTGCAGTTTGCATACTCCCCTGATCCTCTTTTGTTTTCTCAGATTGATATGCAGAGTTATAAGGGGCTGAAGCTTGAAGCCCCCCTGCTGATAATCGCTTGCACTTTGGTTATGTGCAGGTTTTTGTATCTGTTCTTGGTTTTTTGTTTAGCTAGGTCTTGAGCTTTAGCTATAGGGTTTGATTTGTTATCTCAATTACATGTTCTTGAGATTCTTGATGTACAAAAATTCTACATATTGGGGATGAATAAAATTTTTTCATTTACCAAAAAGAAAGTAGATAGATATAAAAGTAAATTGGGTGGATTTAAAAGTAAAAGAACTCTGAGCTTAAAGGTAGAAAAAACTTCTATATTGTCCTCATTATATTATTATCTTATTTTATGAAGCTGATGGTGCATTTTAGGCTTAAACTTGAGCTGTTGAAGTGAGTGGATTTAAAAGTAAATTGGATCACTCGTTTGGGTTTATAAAAAGAAAGCAATTTGTTAGTATTTGTTTTAAGGGTAAAGTGTAGAATCCAAGTTACCGAGCTACAATACAAACCCGTTGTACATTTTGTTGTTAATGTAGATCATTGATGTAGGTAGGCTTAAATGTAGCAATAGTTATAACAATGGGTAGATAGACAAAAGCCTTTTTATTAGTTATTTCTTTTAAGTATGAGCTATTGTTGGGTACTATAGAATGAATAGTGCCAAACTAGAGTACAAACCTCAATAGGTTTAGTATATAGATAAACGAGCAACATTGAACTGTGTTGCCTTGGCGTCTGTGTAAAAACAATAAAAAATATAGTTTAGGTATTTTCCTAAAAATATATTGTACACCTAATACTTTGAATAAAATAGTAAGTTAAAGCAAATTATACCATCTACAAAGATACAAAACTACTAATATACAATAGTTTAAAATTTATTCTTTTAAGTGTGTTAGATCCAAGGTGATATAGAAACTGAGTGGATCTAAAAAGTAAATGAATGTAAAATTTTCGGCTTAGAGATAAAAATTTTAAAAATGAGTGAGTTTTAAAATAAATAAAGTAAATAAAAAACACATTTACGGTTCACTTAGCCACAACATTAACATGGAAGAAGATAAAATATAATGTTTAATACATATGGTTACATAGTACACCGAAAAATTTAGAGAAAATAACTATGAATATGAGTGGGCTCAAAAAATAGAGGGGAACTTTGGGCTTTGAGGTGAAAAACCAAAAAAAAATTATGAATTAAATATTTAGTTAAAAACTACACTGTATCTGACCACTTGAAACAAAAATATAATTACTCACAATGTATACCAAACCGTTGAAATACAAAATAGATTTAAAAATAATGTTGAGTATTTTGTGTTTAAGGGTAGCTTTGGAAGTGAGTGGGTTTAAAAATAAGTAGTATGACTTTGGATTTAGAATGAAAATGGACAAGGTTATAACAAAATATAGAAACTCACATATGATGAGCTAGTAAAAATGAAAAGTGAGTTTAAGATTTGTTCGAATGAATATTTTGGATCTCAAGAGTGATCTTGGATGTGAGTGACTTTAATAATAAATGAAGGCAATATTTTGAACATATACACAAGAACTCCTTTTTCGAAGAGAGTAAGTTTA